AAAAAAAATGGATGAAAGTGATCATCATCATCACTTTCATCCATTTTTTTTATAACTGAAGAACTTCATGCATAAATTGTACGCTTTATCTTCATTAACTTCATCATACAATCTATGAAGTTCTAGCCAAACATATCTGGCGTAACTAAATGAACGAACTTTTTTATACGTTTCATCGTTCATATTGGTAGACATAATTATTATAGCACTACAATCTGCTTTATTGAATTTGTTCAAAGCAGTTTGATATCTTGCTATCTCATCTTCATTTGAGTCATCGTTTAATTCATTTGGACCTTTTAATTTGCCATTTACTACGTCCATTGCATCAGGAATGCCGCGTAGTATTATACAAACTCTTGATTTCCAGTTCAACCAATTACTTTTGCCTTCTAGGTGTTTGCTTTGCACTTTTGTTAGATCCATTTCATCCTTGTTTTTCAATTTTACCTTTTTAATTAGAAGCAAAATATCGACTTTAAGAGAATGAGGAAGCACGTGTTTTCTCTTCACTTCGGTCTTCAAAGAAAATCTTCTGATATTTCTTTCTTCTAAATTTTCTTCGTCAAATCAATTAATTGTTAAAAAAAAGTTACCTAATGCCATAACCTGTTAAATTTTTTGTAACGTAGATCGTTTAATTAATTGATATTAATATAATATTGAAAGACATTAAAAGAAGAAAGTAAACTTAGAAAAGTTTTTGACTCGTTTATTATCAACCTGAATAACATTAAGTGAATTTACATACAACGCAAAGAACATTTAATCCAAAAATAAAATAAAATATAAAACTTAACATAGAGGCATTTCATTTGAGAATAAGTGCAGACCATATAAATAGAATATAGAATCTATTCTATTTATATGGTGCAGACTTGTAGTTGGCGAAGTTTTGACGGCATCTACTTAGGCATAACCTTAAAGATTCATTTATTAAAAATAATACATGATTTCTATCACTAAAAATAATAAAATTGCGTTATTCGAAGATTTTTTCTAAGAAATTTGGAAACGTTTGTCACCCTGTCGACTGTAGAACCTCCTTCAAAAACACAGATTTTTCATAGAACTGTGAGTTTAATTTTCCAAAATTCTAAAATATTTTCACATTATACTAATGTATGTTGAAGAACAAGCTCTTTCTGCTAGGAGTAATGTGCTTAGGGATGCCATGTTGTGGGATGAACACGGCAATTAGAACATTTGTTAGATGTATCATTTGCAGTGGGCACTCTGTGTATGCAATACACTACGGATTTCAAGGCCTCATGCAAAATGACGTAAACATTTATTCTAACAAAAATATAGCATTATATATCTAAATGAGTTTTTGTTGACATACTCCAGGTAGAAGTATTCAAATGGGAAGATGTTCATGGATGGAGCAAGGATCCAGGATGCAACATCGGATCAAGCACGTATGTTACGCGATGCAGATCAAATTATGTGTTCATTTATTTTTTAAATTAAGCTTAAAACCGCCATTATGTGATCCTTCAGCAAAACTATAGACCATTTCGCGTTGGAGAAAATTGCCATCCAAATGAGCAAATACAAAATTGCGGCTCTTTTACTGATCGGAGGCTTCGAGGTTTGTCGGGATTTTTAATTGATAATGAAGATATTTTGTAATGGTTTTTAAAAGGCTTTCTACAGCGCTGTGGTGATGGCCGAATTGAGACATAAGTTTATTGAATTTTGCATTCCTATAATCGTTATTCCTGCAACGCCATACAACAACCTACCTGCTTGTGATATATCTATTGGATCGGATTCTGCACTAAACAGCATCATGCTGGTACGATTTTGTTCATATGGATCGCATAGTAGACAATAATAAGCTTAAGTTAAATTTGATTATGTGAAACATGTGAATAAACCATATGCTGTGTTAAAAATATTCTCTCTAATAAGATGTGCGACAGGTCGAGAAGAAGTTCATTGGAAAGCAAAGGACGGGTGCATCTGTGCGAAATTGATTCTGGAAAATGTGGCTACTTGACAGTTATGAGCTCCCTGACAACTGCCGCTGATATTTCTTACATTTTCGAAGAAGGACACGGCGTTAAAGAGATAATGGTTACCATTAAACTTAGAGTTTTATAGCGATAATGTCAAGATGTTTTTTTAAGACTGATCTCATCCATATCGCTATGAAAATTCGAAATGGCAGCGGGGAAGGATTAGTTCTAATGTAAATATTATAAATGTGTTTTTAATAAAGCTATTTATTATTAAAAAATTTGTTATAATTGCAATAAACTTTAATGCAATCATTTTGAATGTGATTTAACATTCGAAATTTAATTTGGTAAACTAAGAAAGTAAAAAAAACTGATTTACAATAAATGCCAACAATGAAATTTCACGCACACAGGTCAAAAGAATCACATCCATTTTACGACGTAACGTTCATGGATCAACTCTACCAGCACGAAGGAAAGGCAGCTTTTCACACAACAACATTGAAAATAGGAGAAATGATAAACGTTCGTTCTCTCAATTTCCATCGTTGGCATCATTTAAAACTGACACTGTACATATATATATATATATATATATATATATATATATATATATACCCTGTAGCAGATCAAATAGGTCAAAAAGTCCCCATTTTATATTTTTAAAAGGATTTTAGCCACACTACCACAAATTTCGGCTCCCCGTGAAAATTAGAAAAAAAATTAAAAATTTAAACATTATCAAAATTTTGGCCCCCTTTTGTCAGTCGTCTAAATCCACCACTACATACCAATAAATCTAAAAACGCATTCACGCTTCTAGACCCACACCACATTATAGACTGTTTTCGCATCGATATCGGCGTCGTTAGCAGCCGAAAAATTACTTAAACAACTGAACGATGCTGTTACATCCACAGGTTACATTTTCACACATACACACACACACACACACATATATATATATATATATATATATATATATATATATATATATATTTGCAATATTCTATAAATTCTACCGAATGTTTGGCGTTAATATGTTTGTAGTTCGTTTTTTCAATTTTTCTCACTAAAGTTTTACTAGAAGTTGTGCGACCAACCGACGCAATCTAACAATCGAACAAGATCGCAAGCAGCGACTGCTCCATCTTTCTCGAGAATTAGAAATTAAAAGGAAGGTAGTTCTAGATTTGTCACATCAACTTTCACTCGAAGTTCTGCGACCAACCGACGCAACCTAACAATCGGACAAGATCGCGAGCAGCGACTGCTCCATCTCTCTCTCGAATTAGAAGTTAAAAGGAAGGTAGTTCTAGATTTGTCCAATCAACTAACTTTAGTGAGAAAAATTGAAAAAACGAACTACAAAAATATTAACGCCAAACATTCGGTAGAATTTATAGAATATTGTAAAACTTTCTGTGCGCGTTTAATTCCGCAAGAACGCAAAGGGAATGCTCACACCACAGAGACAGTGTACGTGCGCATATATATATATATATATATATATATATATATATATTACTATTTAAAAACATCAGATTCTTGAAACAAATGCAAGTTATAACAGGTTGAGAAAAATAAACCAAGAGAAATGCACAAATTCTCATATATAAAATTTCTCGTATATAAAATTTGGTCATTAACATAGCTGAATTTGGTTAGCTTTATAAAAAAAAATCCCTCAAATTTAACATACATGGTCACCAACACATTTATCGTTTAAAGGAATAGTAAACACGAAAAACCCGGAAAGCTGTTGCATACTTGGATTTCGTAAGACACAGTTGCTGTTCACTCCAGTACAAGAAATGAAAAGTTGCTACAATTTTAGGTGAAATAATATAAACAATACCTGAATTGAAACATCATTTGCTTACAAATTATAATCACTATTTTAAAGTTTACTTTATTTTATAACTTCGTTATTATAATTATTATAAATATATCTCAAGGGATAGAATTCCAAACGAGAGCTGGTGGATTCAATTAACAAAGCTGTCTAAAGTTCTTACTACTCCCGAACTGACTTTGAAGATGCATATATGAAATTATATAATACAAATTTAATTTACATAGTTTTTACAATTTACACAAAAGTTTTATAAAAGGTCATTGGTATGGATTCTTGGTGTGAAAAACTGTTCATGGCTTGCCTGGATAAACAACCTGAATTTAAAAAAAAATTATTAATTTGTAATAGTCAAAAAACGTTTTACCGATAAGGATGTTTTGGTTGTATATAATATTTTTTATTATAACGTAGTTAAAATCTTTTTATTTATGGTCTGAAAATTATAAAATAATATTTGATGAACAATATTAAAATTTGTTTAGTAGGGTACTTGTTTAGAAAAGTTTTATATATAAATGATTTTTTCATTAAAATTACAAGACGGTTAACACCACACTTCAAATACTAAATGGCCGTTCTAATTTAAAGATAAAAACGGTTGCAGAGCGCGATTGGTAGCATCTACATTCAGTATTAAAGATGATTTTGTATCGCTCGCTACACATACACATCTTTCATTACAAGAGCTTGAAAATGATTTTTAGAATGTAAAAATAATTTTGTGTACATTCATAGCACTTTCTGGGATCGGATGAAAAAATATCTGTCTCCGGCCTATTGAAAAATTCCGATTTCGGCAAAAATCTCTGACTGACCGAATCTGACATCCTGGTAAATACTAATGAGTTTACGATTTTATGAAACTGTTTCGCTGGTCGAAATTATGCCAGGTAGAGTTGAACCTTAAAAAATACTAAACCGATACTAAACCGCACATTCCTAGGAAATAAATACCCAACACTCAAAGATAAAAAATGAATTTATTTTTATTCTTGTTGCGTTGTGACAACACATTAAATATCAAAATTTTGCAAAGTGATTCTGAATAGATGGAGCATCATAAATTTTGAAACATCTACTGAAGTTATGACAAAAAGCCAATCAAACCTGTGCTAATCTGTCGTGAATCCTGACGTTATCTTTTTGCAATACCCGACCTGAAATGCCTGTTCATTTAGAATTATGTTTAAAATCCCATCGCTAATAATGAAACAAATTTATAAAATATTTTACTTGGAGTAAAAAAACTTTGAAATTTGTTCAGGTCTAAACTTAGTTTGTTGCTATCATTTCTGAAACAATAGATTAACAATTAGTCAAATTGACCCATTTTCAGAAGTTTTAAACTAACGCATTATCCCTTCGAATATTACTGTTTGCCGATTCTGGATAAATTTAAAATATTTATTTAAAAAAATTTAATTTTGTAATGCTTCGAATTTTTGTTAGTTTATTTGTAAAAATTATAAATGTTGAAAAAAGCTTGTGGTAATTAAATAATGAGAATTTAAAGAGCTGAATTACAGTATGAGGCAGGGATAAAAATATTTCATACTTTTTGTTAAAAACATTTGTTAGCAAGATGCGCTTTCCATTGAATTTAAAATTACGTAAAATTTTCAGTGCTTTGCAAAAATCAACATTAACACTGTGTAAATTGCTTGGTTGAAAAGACGTTATGCGGAAAACAATTGATTGATAAATATTTTTTAATCTTCTAGCAATTTTTTGACTACATTATGGAAAATATTTTTGACAATGACATATAGACCAAACGGATCTGAGGAGTGCATGAATTGTTTTGGTCCGTGTTAAAAAAGCAGGCTATGAATCTTATTCAACAGCATCGATTTTAAGCACTATTTATTTTCTGTATTATTTTGATCATTATTACAAAGCACTGTCATACGCAGAACTGATACATTTTCGTATATATTCATTTTTTCTTTTTTATTAAGTCTCGAACCTCTTGATTAATAAAGTGAGAATCAAGTTCGAGCAATTTCTTAGATTCGGTTGAGTCCAATTTATAATAGCAATCTCACTCTTTTTCTTGCTCTTGACTTTTCTTTTGTTTTTGATACTGTTGATCATACTATTCTCTTGAGATTGTTAGATCATTCTTTTAATGTTACTTAATGATTCTTATCTCTCTTGGTTTTCCTATCTCTGTAATCGGTTCTCTTCTGTTGTTTTTAATAATACTACTTCTAATTTCTCTACTCTTACTTTTGTGGTACCTCAAAGATCTATACTTGGTCCTCTTATATTTTTAGTCTATACTTCTAAACTACCTCGTATTATTGACAAAAAAAAATTTTGATTTACTAGTCACCTTTATACTGACAATTCCTATATTTATACTTCTTTTCCTCCATCTAACCTCATTAGTGTATTTCATAATTTATCTCTGTGTCTCACTTCTATTATTATTGCTTGGAGTAGATCTATGTATCTTAAACTAATTACTTCTAAGTTTGAACTATTATGTTTTAATAAATCTAAACACTCTATTACTAATCCTTCTATTATCTCATCAGTTTTGTAGTCTATGCTTTATCTTTAATTCTAGCATATCTCTTTCTACTCAGATTAATAGTGTTGTTGAAAGTTTTAGTTCTTACTTTCATCTACGTAAAAAAACTTGAAGAGCGCTGTTAAACAACGCGGAAATGGCGCTTTAAAATCTAATTGAGTGAGTATTCACAGTATTTGCACAGGAAAATCGTTACATCGAAGCTTTCTTTATTAATCTAAATGATGTTTGCTACATTCCTATAGGTCTTTATAATCATTGGGATGATAAACTATGAAAGTAATTTTGTCAACGTTAGCCAAATTACTCGCAGATAAATTTAATACGTGACAGAATTTTTTAAATTCTTAAGATGAAACTAAAAAAGGAACATAACCATTTGTTGGAGGTGTTTTAAAAGACAACCTTGGAGGCGTCACAGTTCTTGCACTGATTTTTAAAAAATCATTATTTTCTTTCATTCGTGATGCATTGGGAGCGTTATTAACCGGTGTTTGTAGTTGAAAATTCCTTAACGTGTTTGTAACATTCGCCATTTGAATGCTTGTCTGTTAAGCAATATATCATATTTTAAATTGCTCCAAGTTATAGCATAAGCCCTAAATAACACCAACTTGACTACTTTGTGGAATAGGAAACCTAAAAAAGCAAGATATAAAAAATAAAATTTTGAGTATAATCATGTTTTTTTATAATTGCTACTGACAATTTCCTTACAGTCATGGCCGAGGTCAGACTTTTGTCTGAATATTGACAGTCCGGAAATTATTTTTTGTAAAAGAAAAAAGTGAAATGTAATGAAAGTAAATAAGATTTCTTAAATATTCATTAATTATATCAAGGAAACAAAAAAAGTACTAAAGAGGATAATTATATAGAAATTTAAGCGGCGTAATTTTTCGATTTAATTAACTCGAATTTTTGTCGGGAAGTAAAACTGAGACGTTCTTCATTTCTTTTTTCCAAATTATTTTTAAATCTTTTCAATGTTGAAAACTTTTTTCAGCTGTTGCAGTTGAAACTGGTAGCACACAGCAATATTTAGAAAACCTGTGCAAATGTTTGGGAAATGATTGGCGTCGCAATCCGCCAATCAAAACCGCTAAAGCGGTTTTGGTATATTTTTGTATACTGTATTTTCATTTTTGATCCCTCAAAGACCCTTATACTCTCAATTTATCTTCAAAAATTTCAAGAACATCGTTATGAAATTTCACACACTCTTCAATATGATTTTCATTCATTAGAGAAAATGTATTTCAACAAGAGAGCTCCTCGCTATAAGCGAAATGTAATAATAATGCAACGAAGTTGTATTTGTTCCTTAAAATTAAGAAATTTATAAGTGACAGGATGACCTTATTAGAGTTCGTATAACAAATTTAATATTATGACTACCTAAAGAGAAATAACAAATATTGTTTACAATTTTCAACATAAATAATCTAAAGGTAAAATGGTTCATAAATAATTCATGAACGTATTAGTTGTTAGCAAACAGCTAAATTATACTTAACTATGTTAGAAAACTATGCTACGTGTTAGTAATACTGTTTCGTTGAGTGTCTAGGATTATTTCGCAAGAATCATTAGAAAATAAAACTGACCACGATGTTAACGAGATAGTTTAATTAAAACTTGAAAATGTTTAAATTTGCACAGGGAGGCTAAATTTTTACGGGAGAGGGCTAAATTTTCACGGGGGGTGGCAAGATTTATGGTAGTGTGGCTGACGACATTTTATTGCTAATCACGTTCAATTTTTGCTCGATTTTGCACATAAAACGGCCTTTTTTCTGACTTTTAATAAAAACTGCTCACAACGGGGGACCAGTGCCCCCCTCCTAGATCCACCCCTGAACATCACTAACCTTTAATAGCATTATTCATGAAGCCAGTAGCAATTAAAAACTAAATTACTCAATTATTTTAAAAATCATGCTACTAATTCATACCTCTCATCTACGTGAAGTTTTTTCTTTCTTGGAGATGCTAGATTAACAATCGAATTATTTTCAAAGAGACAAAAAATCAAAAATTCGAATAACATATGACATACATTTAGTAGGGCTTGGAGTCTTGGTATCGGATGATATAGGTTTCTGATCACTGTGCATAAAATTATATAATTTTATATTTATATTTGTCTTTTATTCTATATAATCATAATTTGTATTATACATGGGATACATTCATATATAATCTTGTATAGGGTATGTATAATTTACAAATATCACAAGTTTTGGTTTTAAGTCATATTCGAGTTTAATAAGTTCAAAATACATTAATAAACGCTTATGAGATAATCAAACTTGTTTTTTCTCAAATTTATAAAAGTTACCTTTTATAACTTCTTGTGAAGAACAATTAGAATAAAAATTGGTCAGAATTAGAATAATCTCTTTTCCCAACCTACATGCACATTGTACATATGTACTGTACATTCATGAATTCATCTACTATAACATTTACCGAACTTGTCTGTTTTCATTTTCATATATATGCTAGTATTTGTATTACTTATATATTTATATCTATTTTTTCTATTTGGGAATTTGTAGTTCTGTGAGTTTAGGTGAAAGCGGTTGAAATTTTTAAAAATTGCGTTAACAAATATTAATTGATCGATTGATGAAAGCAAGGAAATTAAATAAGACA